GGTTACGGATTTCAAAAATCTGTCAAATTTTTGCATCAACAAATTTTCAGCCAGACTAACTTTCCTCCACTTGACAATTATTTTTAAGAGACTAACTTTCCTCCATTAGACAATTACTTCGATTAATAAAATGATTCACTTTAATTAATGTCAAATATTTATGACTGGGAAAATAAATGGACTTTTTTATTTTTTTACTTCGTGACCCCTTCCGAAAATTTTAGCCAGACTCACAAATTGTCATTTAATCTCACCACCATCTGAACATACTATTACATATTTACCCACTGGGAAAATAAGTACAAATAAATCACTGCCTCCTGAACTATACGAATTTTCTTTTATAAGAAAAAGTATGCTTAACAATTTATATGGTACAAAAGTGACTTGATTAATAAAAATAGACAGACTAACTCACCTCTAAAAAGAGTTTAAAAGAGCTGATATCTGTAAAACCATTGCGAAGGAGTTTGCAGCAAATATAGTGCAATGAATTCAAGATTAGTCATATCTACCCATGATGATGCAAGTGACGAGTTACGAGCGACGAACGCAAGCGATCCTAGAATGAAATAAAATGAAATCCGATTTTAATGTGACATTCTCGATAAAAAGCTGAGCAACTTTTCTACACACATTGCAGGTAGCAAATTTATACGACGTTATCCGTCCCGTATTTGAGTGACAAAATTTTACGACCTACATCGACAATGCTTTGAAATAAACTAAATCAAACGATCAAGCGAATCGCTTGTCGCTTGCTATTTGCCATTCATCACCAAAAGAATATATGCTCTGTGCACGCAGCTTACTGCTTGGCGTTACGAGTACAAAACAAGCGACGGGCGAAAAACCGTATTTTTAAACACGAGCGATCGCTCGGTTATTGAAATCGCTTGAAACTCGAGTACTCGATTATGGAAATTAATTGGTTTTTCCCATCACTAATCGAGACCGTTGTAGGATTCTCATTCCAGGTTGCAGATGAAGTATTCCAGGTATATAGTAGTAGGATCAAAATAATTGATATTTCTATTAAGTATTAAAAGTATTTTTGCCGGCTTACCTTACATTTGCTTATTTTTTAATTTTTTTTAAAGGTTTACTGTTTTGAGTCAAATCTCAAATGAATTCAGTAGGCCTGAAATAAAATAAACTTACCTAAAATACAACCAGCTGATCTGCGCAGTTTGAGCTGAATCGGTAAAATGTAGGTCAAACGTTGACTATTTATTTACTTATCTAATAAATGGCGCTGATTCAAAAAATTAGTAATGAAGTTGAAGAGATTAATTATATATTCAGTATCATCGGACTGTTCTTGGTGGAATGCTTTGGTGGAATGTCGATCTCGGAGTATTAATATCATGCGTTAATAGCCCAAAAGTTTTTAATGTACGTATGTAGAATTGTTTGATGTATAAAAATTAAAATAATATTCTGGTAAAAGTTAATATACAATGTGATGTTCAATTTAATAGATATGTGGGTATGCACGTTTTTGCGTAAGAATGCTGTATAAAATAATGTTAAGAGTAAGCAATATCAAAATATTTATACGTTATAACTGTTGAAGACAATATTTCTTAACAAGGCGAAAAAGAACTGCTATAATTGTTCATTATTTAGAGTTTCATTATTTCAGTTTAATAAATTGTAAAAAAGGTATTTAAAATAGTAGACGTTGCACTATATTTAGTAGTAATCTTCTTCTTCTTCTTCTTCTTCTTCTTCTTCTTCTTCTTCCTCAACCCGGATTCATCCAGTCCCTGTTTTGTGCTGTGTTTTTTTGTGCCACCGTTCACCTGCCACTTCCCTAATGTCGTCCAACCGACGTTTCTGTGGACGTTCCACACTTCTTTTAGTTTGTCTAGGCTTCCACACAGTTATTCTATGCGCCCAGCTGTCTCTATCCAGTCTAGCAACATGGCCAGCCCATTGCCATTTCATTTTAGCCGCTTGAATTATATCAGTAACTCTTGTTTGCCTCTTGATGGTTTCATTACGAATTTTGTCTCGCAGAGAGACACCTAGCATACATCGTTCCATAGCTTCTTTGAGTTGTTAAGAATTTATTTGCAAATAATTTTGTTAGACTGACCTTTTTCAGTCCGTATGTTTGCACAGGTAAAATACATATGGTATATGTGTTATATACTTTCAGATTGATAGGGATGGTATTGTTTTTCAGAATATGTCCCAGTTTACCGAAGGCTATCCAGGCTAATCCTATACGCCTTGTAATTTCTGCGTGTTGGCTTTCTTTTCCAAGTCTAATAATTTCGATCTTATTATTTTGTATATACATGGTCCGGCAATAGTGCGTCAGGCATCTGTAGCTCCTACAAAAGTGCAAACCTAAAGTATGTACCAGGATGTATTTCCGGAAAATATTTTAACTTCTGTAGTTTCTATAGTTTTCCGGATACACGCAGTATTATTTCATATGGCGCTTCCAATGTAAAAATACCAGAGAAAAATCATGGTGCGTGGCTTTGATGAAAATTTACTGTCGAAAATGCCGTATGAAATACAAAGTAGTGAATATTTGCGAAACCGTTAAAAATTTTGAAATACTCTAAATACAAAAAATGTACATTTTTTAATTCTCCATATATTGAAAAAATAATATACAGGGTGTTCCATTTAAAAAAAACGAAGAAAAATTATTTTATATTTTAGAAAGTTTGGCGTAGAATTTTAAACATCTTTGAACATTTTCATATTTATAGAAAAGTAAGTATAGACCATCCTAAAGTAAATATCTAATATAGTTTTGATTTCAGAACAGTTCTTGTATTATTAATAATTTCTTTAAGAAAGGCTGAAAAATATGTAAATTTTATTTATTTATTATCTCTGGAATTATCGAAATATATTTATTCATGTCTTAAGATTATGTAAAGTGATCTGAAAGGAAGCCAAAAATGCAATAATATACAGGGTGTTCCATTAAAAAAAATCATCCCGATCCACTCACACTTTTTTGAGCCACCCTATAGAAGTTAAAATATTTTCCTGAAATACATCCTAGTACATAATTTAGGTTTGCACTTAAACAAAATTCCCAAGTTTTTTATTTTAGGAGCTACAGATGCCCGACGCACTATTGCCGGACCCTGTATATGTTGGTATCTTTAGAACTCAGTACTTTTGTCTTATTAAAGTTTATGTTCAGTCCTATCTTGGCAGCTGATAGATGTAATTCATTTAACATTTCATATAGTTCTGTGATGTTGTTACCTATTAGAACTATATCATCTGCAAATCTGAAGTGATGTAGTCAGATACCATCTACTCTAATGCCTTTGGTGTCCCATTCCAGCTTTTTGAATACCTCTTCTAGTGCTAGAGTAAACAGTTTAGGTGACATGGTGTCTTCCTGTTTCACACCTCTCTCCAATACTATTTTGTTGGTCGTAATTGTTGTATCTAATCTAATATGCATTGTTGCTTCTTGGTAAATATTTTCAATGATTTGAGTATGTCTTGAGTCTATTCTTGCATTTCGTAGAACTGCTAATATTGATCATATTTCAACGGTGTCGAAAGATTTTTGAAAGTCAATGAATGCCTAATGTATAGGTACATTGTACTCTGTATATTTTTCTATAAGGGTACGGACTGTATATAGATATGATCTATCGTACTCCAATTTTCCTATATATCCTTTTCTAAATCCTGCTTGTTCGACGGGTTGGTAAAAATCTAATTTTTAAGTTAACGATTAGTTATTATGAAAACTTTTGTAAATAGTTTATTTAAATGTCATAGAAGGGATATTGGTCTATAATTTTCTATGTTTGTGTTGTCACCTTTTTTGAAGAGTAGTATTACCTCAAAGTTACACCATTTAGTTGGAATTTTCCAACTTTACCGTGATGTCGCCACATTTAGAAAAAGTAGATATATGTCGCAGCTACAGAACGAGTCTCTGAGAACGAAGCTTTAAGCCGCGTTCTCAGAGCTTTGTTCTGTCGCCGCGACAGTATTTTCGACCAATAGGAAACCATGAAGCGAAATCCCCTAACCCCCACTTTTATGTCGCCGGTGACGGTCGCTGTAGTTAAAAATTTCCAACTTTACCGTGATGTCGCCACATTTAGGAAAAGTAGATATGCGTCGCAGCTACAGAACGAGTCTCTGAGAACGGGTCTCTGAGAACGAAGCTTTAAGCCGCGTTCTCAGAGTTTCGTTCTGTCGCCGCGACAGTATTTTCGACCAATAGGAAACCATGACGGCATTTCCCCTAACCCCCACTTTTATGTCGCCGGTGACGGTCGCTGTAGTTAAAAATTTCCAACTTTACCGTGATGTCGCCACATTTAGGTAAAGTAGATATGCGTCGCAGCTACAGAACGAGTCTCTGAGAACGGGTCTCTGAGAACGAAGCTTTAAGCCGCGTTCTCAGAGCTTCGTTCTGTCGCCGCGACAGTATTTTCGACCAATAGGAAACCATGACGGCATTTCCCCTAACCCCCACTTTTATGTCGCCGGTGACGGTCGCTGTAGTTAAAAATTTCCAACTTTACCGTGATGTCGCCACATTTAGGTAAAGTAGATATGCGTCGCAGCTACAGAACGAGTCTCTGAGAACGAAGCTTTAAGCCGCGTTCTCAGAGCTTCGTTCTGTCGCCGCGACAGTATTTTCGGTCAATAAGAAACCATGACGCCATTTCCCCTGACCCCCACTTTTATGTCGCCGGTGACGGTCGCTGTAGTTAGAGAGAGGAGGTGGCAACATTGCATTCTCTGCAAGCATTAGAAACAAATTCCCGGAAACTAAACAAGTGTCACTTAAAAGTTTTTCAATATTTTCCGGAAAATGCCAAGAAAAATACAAAATTTTCAACATATTTCTTTCGCAAAAAAGCGTCATGGGCGTGTTTCTCGGATCGAACTATACTGCCAGTTAAAATGCTTGTCCTTATTTCTGGAACACTCTGTATTTATAGGATACAGAACTGGAAAAAAATATTATGAATTATAAGCTGGGGGGGATGGTACTTTCATTTGAGGCCTAATGAAATAAAAAGGAATCATAAAAAATTTTCTCTAAAAACAGGACAATATTCCGGCCAATTTTGTCTTAAACAATAGCACCAAAATCAATTAATATTCAAGCTGGTATTATATATTATTATTATATTAAACATTACTTCCAGATTCTTCAGAATTATGACTAATGTCAAAGCTCTGGTTTTTAGATTCTTGAATTGTTACTTTGCTGACTTTAAGATTCTGTTTTGAAATTATTTTTTGTCTCGAAGTCGGCCAGTGTCCACTAGAAGATCCTCTTTCTAAATCACTAGTTGAATATCCTTGATGGAAGCTCAAACCTTTTACATCCCGTATAAGAATCTCAGACTCGGCCGGCCTAAAAATTAAGAATTTTAGCGACAAAATCTTGTGAAAAATAAACTAATGGAATATTATACAGGGTGGCGCCTCTCATACGCCGCGGAAGTTCCAAGGAGAACGGTAGTTTATATTGAAATGAAATTTTGGCAGCATATGTAGGTTAACTGAAAGCATTTTATAAAAAATATATATAGAATTATACAGGGTGTCTCCAAAAAAAGTTATACATTAAAGTTGTGTTTTTTTCTAATGGAACACCCTATATATTGATTATCGGATTCCAGAAAAAAAATAAAGGTGAGCTTTATTAATGAAGCATATACTTAAAATCTAGGGATTTTGACATATTTCACATTTTGTGAAAATGAAGAGTAAATTTTAAATTTCGATAACAGCTACCTAAATTTTAGTTGATCTTGTATAGCCTGATATTCAATTACAGTAACCACTGTATATTAAACCAAATTGAAATTTGACCCGAAAAGTTGTACAGGGTGAGACAAAATTAATATGGAACATTAGTCACATTTAAAAGCAAGTTACTCCTTTATTTTAAATGGAACACCCAGTATATATTTCCGGTGTTCAATGGGGAATTTACATATCTTCAAAATATTATTACGGTTGCCTACCTATCTGCTACTATCAGACAAAGATTTTCCCAGATATTTTAATTTTTATGATTTTGCGTCAGTAAATCTTTATTATTTGAAAAAATTTAGGTGGCTATGTGATATACCTTTTGTTAATTTAACAAAAATTAAAGATTGTAGAGTAAAATACTCAAGGGTAATAAAAAGATACACGTTTAAAACATATTTTAATTATTACAGAATTAAAACTAGATATAAAGCTATAATTATGCGACAAAAATTAGCTAGATGAAATCAAATGCTCAAAATGCTTCCTTTCCTGTTAACTGCATAAAATGATTGTCTTTTCAAAAGGATCTTTTCATTTAAAAGGCTATATTCTATCTGGAGTTCTACCTCGAAAAGCAACTACACTAATTTCTCATGTTGTCGACATTAGTTGGTCAAGTTTTGTAAACACTGTCTTTAACATATCCCATAAAAGTAGAATTTCTATTATTTTTAAGTAAACATCATACATATCTCTTGTTTCCTCACTTGTGAACATATCTACTATAAATTCTTGTGTCCAGATTTGACACTTAATAGAGTAAACAAAAATTAACTTGCTGTTATATAAAGTGTCAATTGGATTTCCAAAGCAGACTTGATCTTTTGAGCGAATTTTTAAAAATCAATTTTTTTAGTGAATTTACATAATAATGAATAAAAATTAGAAACCACCGTATAGATTATTTTTTGCTCTATCTAATAGTATAAAAATTCAAAATGGCGGCTAACCAAACCAACTAATAGAATCATATCAATTCTCTCTCTGATGTAGGATAAGTTTGCATTTTCGGCAAATTTCTGAGAAATTTTATTGTTCTAATTGACAGAAAATTACAACTAGTTGCTAAAGTTGGACTAATTAGACAGTTATGTTGAAGTAACGTCAGACTGGTCAGACATATCACCAGCCACCTAGATTTTATCAAATAATAAAGATATACTCAGATCAACCCATGTAAATGAAAATATCTAGGAAAATCTTTGTTTGAGGGGTAGGCAACCTTAATAGTATTTTGAAGAGACATGAATTTTCCATTGAGTATCGGAATAATATACTGGGTGTTCCATTTAAAACAAGAGAGTAACATGCTTTTAAAGGTGACCAATGTTCAATGTTAATTTTGTCTCACCCTGTATAACTTTTTGGATCAATTTTTAATTTAATTTAAAGTACAATAGTTAATTTAACTACATATTAGGCTATACCGGGTAAATTCCAATTTAGGTAGCTTTTATTGTAATTTAAAAATTGTTCTTTATTTCTAGAAAATGTTAAATATGCCAAAAACCTTACATTTTAGTCATATACTTCTTTTAGAAAACTCACCTTTATTTTTCTCCCAGAATCCAAAAATCAATGAATATGTGGGTGTTCCATTATAAAAAACACAACTTTGAAATGTAACTTTTTTTGGGGACACCCTGTAGAACTCTCTATTTTTTTAAAGATTGCTCTGAATGCTACAAATGCTCAAAAAATTTCATTTCAATACAAACTGTCGTTTTCAAAAAATATCTGTCGATATCAAAAAATACAAACGGTCTTTTGTTTTTTATTGGACTGATATCCAAGAAAGACCGTAAAAGAATAGAGTCGATACGACAAACGATCCATGTAGTAGATGTCATCCATAGAATCAAATTTCTCAAGTGGCAATGGGCAGGACACCTGGCAAGAAGGATGGACAACAGATGGACCACAAAAATTGAAACATGGTACCCACAAGGAATTAAGAGACCTAGAGAAAGGTCAAGCCTAAAATGGGACCATGATATTAGGAAATTAGCAGGGATAACTTGGGCCTGCATAGCCAGCAATAGTCAACAATGGGTACTACAAAGAGAGTATGTGATGGAGGCTACACCATAATTGGACGACAAAAATTAAAACATGGTACCGACGAGGAATTAAGAGACCTAGAGGAAGGTTAAGCCTAAAATGGGACCATGATATTAGGAAATTAGCAGGGATAACTTGGGCCTGCATAGCCAGCAATAGTCAACAATGGGTTAGGTTAACCTAACCCATTTAACCTTGTTAAAAAACATGACGGAGGAAAGAAAAAAGTGTACAGGAACAACACAATGGAACTAAAATATTTTACTGTAGTCGAACTAGAACAAGCAAGTACAAAACTTTCGGCAAATAAATCACCGGGTGCTGACGGCATACCAAACGAAGTTCTTAAAATAGCCATTGATGTATGGCCGGAGTTACTACTACACACAGTAAATGAATGCCTTCTTTCTGGATGTTTCCAAACAAATGGAAGCAGCAAAATTTGGTCCTTCTACACAAGCCCAACAAACCAATAGAGGATATGTCATCTTATAGACCAATCTGCCTAATAGACACCAGTGCCAAACTCCTGGAAAGATTACTACTACAAAGAATGGAGGTCCATGTAGACAGCATAGGAGGATTATCACATCGGCAGTATGGATATCGTAAAGGCATATCGACCATCGACGCAATCAATCGAGTAGTCACCATTGCAAGGAGTGTAAAGGAAGGGAATTCGAAAAATAAAGGATATTGTGCATTAGTAACTTTAGATGTCAAAAATGCTTTCAATACTGCAAGATGGGGAGAAATTATACAAGCCTTGGATAGAAAAGATTTCCCAGAATATCTGAAAAATATGGTGACTAGCTATCTTGCAGAGAGAAAAATATTCTATCTAACGTCTGAAGGAACAAAAACGTATGACATGACAATGGGAGTTCCCCAAGGATCGATCCTAGGACCCCTCCTATGGAACATATTTTATGACGAGCTTATGGAACTGGAAATGGCTGAAAACACAGATATAGTGGGATTTGCAGATGATATTGCTGTTGTGGCAACGGCAAGTAAAACAGAACAAATGGAGATTGAAGTAAACGATAGTTTAGATAGAATACACCGTTGGCTGAAGATGAAAAATTTGCAACTGGCTGTCCATAAAACAGAGGCTGTACTGATAATGGATAATCGATCTTTTACGTATCCAAAGATTGTGTTGGATGGGACGGAAATCAAATGGTCCAAAAGCCTCAGGTATCTGGGAGTGCAAATTGATAAAAAGCTGAATTTCAAAGAACACGTACATGCAGTAGTAGCAAAGGCTCAGACAACAGTGGCTAAATTAGGAAGAGTAATGCCAAATATCGGAGGTCCAAGGCAGGAGAAAAGGATAGTTTTAAATAAAGTGGTCCACGCCAGTATTTTGTACGCCGCTCCAATATGGGCAAAGGCACTGGAGGTTAAAAAAGAAAAACAGAAACTTCTATCAGTTCAGCGACGGAGCACCTTGAGAGTTGTTTCTGCCTACAGAACTGTAGCGGAGCAAGCGGTATTCGTAATCGCAGGTATACCACCAATAGACCTGGTAGTAAAGGAAAGGGCTTATATATATGATCAGAAAACTAGAGGAAGAACAGATAAGGCTGATATCAAAAATGAAGCAAAGGAGATATTATAACAACAGTGGCAAAGAAGATGGGATGAGGCGTACGGTGGAAAATGGACACATATGTTAATCCCGAATATAAGAAGATGGACTGAACGAAAACACGGATAGGTAGACTATTATCTTTCCCAGATACTTACGGGTCACGGAGCTTTCGAACATTATTTATATCGTTTCAAGAAAAGAGCTAGTGCGGCCTGTAAATATTGGCGCAGTGCCATCGACGATGTCAGTCACACCATTTTTGAATGCTTGGCCTGGGAACCAGGTATATTAAAGATCAAAGGGATCTTTAAGGTACCCTTTAAAAAATAAAACCTAATACCATCTATTGTGGAGGACGAAGATATATGGAAGGCTTTCGTGCCGTTTATATCAAAAATTCTACGACAGAAGGAGCTGGATCAACGGAGGGTTGAAGAATAACCAAAGTCAACAATGGGTACTACAATGAGAATATGTGATGGAGGCTACACCATAATTGGAAATGGTTGAATTAAGCTGAAAATGATGATGATGATAATATCTGTAATAATTTGGCAAACAAACTTACTCGTCTAATCTAGCCATCCTGGTTTTAGCTTCTTCCACCGCTTTAACAGCTATTTGACAGACCGGGTCATCTTCACATGCCATATTAAACATGAGATTACGAATATCACATCTAAATATAATTCTATCGAACATTTTGATTTCCACTCGATTATATTGATTGATTTCTATCACTTCAACTTCATAACCCAAATCAGTTAACTCGGCTAATTAAAAAATCAATCTTTGCAAGGTATAAAATTGAAATTACGTTTGTAGTCTTACCGAAAAGGCCATTAATTTTTTGAATACGATGTTTTATTACGCCATGTGCGAAATACGGTCCATAGTAAATAGTCACGGACATTTCTGCATAATTGTATTAAAACGCTTGAAGCATGCTTGAAGTAAAAAGTCTATATGACAATGACATACAGAAAAGTCCACAGACTTCGAGACATAGGAAAATCAAATCAAGTCCATTTAGCGTGTGTCCAAATTTTGACAAGTTTTCAAAAATGAGAGTTTTGTTTAGACTGACGTTTAATTTCATTTTATTTAAACTTGATAAGTTCGAAATTGTTTATCTCAGATTCTTGGATTGCATTTAAAAATGAACGTGTATCACGTTAATGAAAAAATTCAGATAATTAAGTGGATTTATCAGAACAAGTCGATTGAAGAAATAAAAACGGGATTCAAACAAGCTTTCGACAATAGACCGGTGCCTTCAAAAGCCACCATTCACAGGATAAAAGAAAATTTTGAAAAATATGGCTGCGTTACTCCCCACATGCAGAAGAAACCAAAAATTGAAGATAATTCTCGTGTCTTAATATGCGCTACAGTTGAGGAAAATCCAAATAGAAGATGTGTACAAGTTGCTGAAAGAGTAAATTCAAGTACAACAACAGTTAAAAGGGTCCTCAAAAAACATTGTTATCGTTCAAGAAAAGCTAGAAAGGTTTTACATAGGTTTTATAATGTGCGAACCCAATATCCACAAAAACTAAATGTTTGGGCGTGTATTGTAGGGGAACACGTGATTGGGCCATTTTTTATTGAGGGCAATTTAAATACTGCGAAATATTTGGATTTATTGCAACAGCAAATTGTACCGGTGCGCGGCGATCCGACGATTATTTGGCGAGAGATTTGGTGACAACAAGATGGATGTCCAGCACACAATGGTCGTATTGTGCAAGAATATTTAAACAATACTTTTGGCGATAGACTAATTAGTGGGTATGGAACCATCTTGTGGCCGCCAAGGTCACCTGACCTCTCGGTGAATGATTTCTTTTTATGGGTGTACATAAAATCTAAAATTTACGGCCATGAAGAAATTCGAAACTTAGAACAGTTACGGCAGAAAATACTTAATGCCTTTGACACTGTCACCTATGATATGTTATCCAATATGAGAAAAGGGGATTTTATGATCGTTTGGGTTATTGTTTAATGCAAGAGGGAGACATTTTTGAACAATTTTTGTTACACAAATATTTTGATTGAGAAATTTGTTACTTTTATATTTTTTTGGATTAAAAAAACAAAAGTTGTTAATATAATACCATTTTAAAAGTGTTTTAGTAGTTTTAATACACACTATGATATACAATTTATTATTATTATAATGTACATTATTAATACTATTATTCATTCGAAATGGCATTAAGGCCCATAAATTTTTCTTAAAGATAAGTAGAGCTTAGAATGAGTTGTATTTATATTTACTTTAATATTAACCTTAAATAAGGGAATTTGACTGATACAATTTTTGAATTTAAATTGTTTTTAATGATACTAACAATTTTAGTTCAATTTTTAATAAAATTTATTTAATATTAATAAAAATCCAAGAGATTTAAAACCTCTTTTAGCGATTTATAACATTGTCAAATGAATTACAGGTGCCTTTATTTTCTATGAAAACCACACAGCTTTTTTCATAGTGACTGCAGTTGCTATATAAAACATAAATAAATGAATAGGGACATTCTGTATTCTGTTAGTTTCATAGTAATTACGTTTTTGAAGAAAAAGTCACAGTTATAACTCGACTTAAGCTAAGAAGACCTTAAATATCACGGTGCAATTGGCCACACATTAATGTCAAAACTAATTTTTTAAGTTGTGAAAATTGCGACTCACGCTAAATGGACTTGATTTTTCCTATGTCTCGAAGTCTGTGGAACTTTCTGTATATTGATTGTAAAAAGGTCGTTATTTTTAATATTCTGACGGTTTTTGTTTTTATTTTGTAGATTTTCTTACAGTAGCGATATTTTTAAAATCCATAATGAATACATTTTTTAAAGTCCATAATGTTACTTATACTGTAGTTCTCATTATTTCCATAAGGAGAACTATGTGTGCAATAATAAAAATTACTAAATTCGATGAAACCAATAGAAAAATAAATGATAGGATAAAGCATGAACCATAAATTAAACGAATTTCTGCGAAAACACTTGAGCCTGAGAAAAAGAAATAATTAGTACTTCCAAGCAATAGCCTCAGCTTAAGGACAACCATAGTTATTGAGACAAAGACGAAAGTTGGGCAGTAAATTATAGGCTTTTACTTGTGATTGGGGGGTGGTACCCAAATCGCAAACCATCGTATAACAATAGAGGTATTGTGCGTATAGTAATTAACTTAAAAGTAGTAACGCTAATTTATTCCCACTTTGGGTACTTGAAATTTTAGGTGTACATGAGAAAACAGAATATTGTAAAAGATTTTCAGAGTGGTTCGTAAATGCGATACCTACAGGCTTACCTATTAGAGGTACAAAAAAAACTTTAAATGTATGAATTTATTAAGCACTTCCATAAAACAAAGAGATTAAACAAAACATTCATTCGTTCGATTATGATACAAAATACAGGGTGATCCATTTAAAATAGTGGAGAAAAATACAGCATTTAGTTTTGAATTACCCTGTACATATCAAGATTACAAATATTGGTAGGCCACTTTTATACAGTACGTCCGGCTAATTTTTTTTTAAATTTTTCAAATTTAGAATTTTGAGAGAGCTTTAAATAAGCAGTAGATTTTATTTAAATAGGGTTATATTTCATATTTGACAGTTCTGTTTGACGTTTCAAGTGACACATTTGAATTTGATTTGAAAATTTGAAAATCTTTCAAATTAAATTGTAGTTTAAGATTCTCCAAAATAATATATATTTTTTGGAAATAGATTGGTGCGTTTGAGCGTTTGAAAACGTTCTATCGTTTTTCAATCTATACTTTGTTTTTTTTTTCACAGGTAATATTTCGACCTTTTTATTCAAAGATTTCGATTGACTATGAGAGAAGAAAAGCAGATGACGTCCATACCAAATCCATACCAATCCATGGTACAAAGAAAACAAGGTATGATCGATAGCGATTCCAATTTCGTTAAGTTTGCGCATACCACCGGTGACGTCGTAGGTCATACAAAAATATATCCATATTGTTCAATTGCCACTAATAAAAAAAGACCTAAAATAGGGAAGAATTAGAACATAACCCCCATATAAGTTATGTCAAATCATCGAGCTTGACATTTGAAAAATTATTTTCACATTTATTGTGTCATCTGTTTGACAATCTGAAATTGGCGCGCGGAGCTTGCCGACCAATGATGCCGTTTATCACCTGTGGCGTAGTGACCAACATGCGCAATATCATACCTTGTATTCTTTGTATCATGATACCAATCTATTTATTTTAATAAAAATTGTTTCTAATATTTTTTAAGTTAACTATGGATGGGTTTAAATATAAATCCGTCATGCGTCGTCTCTTGTTATTTTAAACCAGTTTTATTGGTTTATTTCAAAAATGACAGATCATATTTTAATTTTATTGGTTTGACGGAGCGATGAACGACAAACGGACGCCGATGCGTATGAACCTTAGGTATGAACTCGCCTTTAGATTTTTGAGGCTTGTCAAAGTCTTGCCAAATTATAGGTTATAGTTTTGTGTCAACTTATGTCAAATACCCTGCGTTTTGGAAGATGATACATTTTGATTCGTGTTTTTATGTCTGTTTTGTCAAGTGGAGGAAAAATAGAAGGAAAATTAACTGTAGACCCAGAGCCACAGTTAATAGTTAATACTCGATGCCCAGGCTGAAAGTCTTACACACCAATAAAGTTACCATCAATAAAGTTTGTATACCATCTCGTCATCTCGTCAAAGATAAGTGCATCTCGTATATGGTACAAGGATCGTACTAAACATATACTAAAAACTGGAGTAGCTGTAAAATAACGACATCACACGATAGCTAAATAATGGATTTTAGCACTGCAGAATAATCCCAAAAGGTACTGCTTTAAAAAAATTAAGATTAAAATTATTTCATCAACCTTAAAGCTTCATTCAGATCATCGAAATCAGTGGAATAAATCAGTAGTTTCAATTAGCCGTAGAAGTTTGTTCACCTAATTTTAATTTAAGCATTCAGAACGTCATAATTAGTGGTAGTAATTTTCAATTAGTGGAAAAAGTTAACAAACCTCTGACTTTTCCACTAATTATACTTCAAATTTGCGAGGAATGTCATTTTGGCCTTTGATTATTACCCGTCAAGAAAAAATTTGGTTAGAAATAAAAAGTTTATTGTTTTATAACTTTGAATAAGAAGACTAAAGCTTGATTTTCATGCATCCGTTGTCCAACGATACGTTGATACGATATTAATTTAACCAATAAAATTAATATCGTATCACCGTATCGTCGGACAACGGATGCATGAAAATCAAGCTTAAGGAAGGAGCATATCAAAAATCTTAGGTCCACCGCGAGGGGACTCAAATATGGCCGACTTAAATTCCGGTTTATCAATGCCGTTCTAGTTTTATTTAAAAAATGTAAAACTATGATGTAGGGTAGACGTGGGGTAGACTCAATAATTTTTTTTTATTTTACGTTGTGAATAAATGTTGGTAGTTATTAAAATTGTTATAAAAATATATTATTATAATAAAAATAGATAAGTTTTAATAATTATTTATTAACACAAACATCCGATACGCTACTGAAGCAGGTAAGTCAAATTGACGTATCTAGACGACAAAGAATTTTGATATCTAATCTTTGACAAGTAGTAAATAAAAGCAAAAATGCAAGAAAAAATATATAATTAGTTAATTTAAGTTAATTTCATAAATGATCGGTTTACTACACGTATGTATATTATATAGTCACTTACTAGCGAAAAGTTGTTCCATTATTTCACACATTTTTGCCGAGATCTACCGCACGCTACACAACCAACTATTTTAGAGTCTTTTTCGATAAATCGCGATAGTGTCACTGTTAATTTAAGTTCTGCCACAATTTCCATCTAGATTTACTACCTTTATACAACTATCACTAGTAGAATAAATAATAAATAACATAAAATAAGCTCCCTAAAAACTGACAAATCCACAAAAT